GCAATACCGGCCCGAAATGGAGTACTTGGGTTATGTGTAGAATTGTGGATACTTCCTGGTGTGCATTTTAGTTTTAATTTCTTTTAAATTGTAGAGCACTAGCTGATGTGCATTGTTTGATATTTAATTTTTTTTATATTTGATTTGTTTGGAATTGTATAGTCTGTTAAATATATTTTTATAATTACATTTTAATCTTAATATTATTTATACCGTGCCTTTAGGTACAAGCATACACTAGTATATATATAAAGAAAAAAAGGATATCATTTAAATAATGATTTACATTTTCAAAAATATTTTTAATTAATCATGTTGCTAAAATGAAAACAAATTAATTATGAAATTTAAGGTTCATTGGAGAATTAATTGTTTTAGTTAATTTTTTTAATTTTACAATTTATAGTAATTTTAACTATACTAGCTACACCCTAAACAAAGCTTTAATATTACATTGGAAATTGCAATCAGTTACTTGAAAACTTTCCTGATCAAAGTGCCTTTCACTACTGCTCCTGAGGATGTACTTGTTCCCTCCACCAACCAATCTTCAGATTCAAAAATCAAATGGATATCTTTTTCCAACTAGCTCTTATCCCATGGGAGCAGGCGTAAATTTAGGATTCTTATAATGTAATGTCTGCTGGATTAAGGAAATTTCGTTTCCGTAGTTGTAATGGTGGCATCAGTTCGCCACCTAGTTGATACATATACATATATATTATTTATATGTAATGTCGATAATTATTCCATCAGTTGTAAAATATTATTTTTTTATTTTATTTTTTATTGTCTCAACATATTAGTTCATTCTAAAAAATTAAAAATTAAAAAAACTTGATTTTTTTTTATTTTATCTTTCTTTTAAATTTATTAAAACACAAAAAATATAATTATGACAATCGATATTTTCAAAAAAATGTACTATCAAAGAGTAATTTTTAAAAGTAATATTTTTTAAGTGTAATAATTATACTCCTAAAAAAATTAAATTTTTCAGAAAGAACTAATATTTGGGACAAAGGGAATACAAATTTATGACTTAATTATTAAGTTGATAAAATATTTCACTAATTTGTAATTATTTTGAGAATATCTCACTAAATTGTAATTTTTCAAATATCATATACACTCATTATTAATTTTTTTAATTTATAATTTATAATTAATGATTTATCTACCGCATTTGTTTAATTCGAATTCGTTTGCATAAGTCTTTTTTAAAAGAGATTCATGCACAAGAGTCTTTTATTAAAAAGAGACTCACACGAATTTGAAATAAATAAATGAGGAAATTACACTTATCTCTCCTGAGGTTTACCTTAATAACAGATATCTTTTTTATGGTTTCAAAAATTACACAAACCTCCCTTACTTTTGAAAATAATAGCCAAGTTTTCCCTTCTATTAGAAGCATGTTACAAAAGTAACCAAAAAGAGTGACAATACATACCCTTGTAACAATTTTCTTTCAGTTTTTCAGTCCTTGTAAACTTTCCCTCAAAACAACATGACAATGATGGGTATTTTTTTACACCAAGTTAATTTTTTTTTTTATATATATGTATATATTTTGAATTGCTTTGTATCAGGAATGTTGGTTATTTCAAAATTAATTTTGCACCCAAAAAGAAAAAAAATCATGTGAAATGATGAGCATTTTTTTTAATTTTAATTTTTTACACCAGATTAATTTTTATTTTTTTTAAAAAAATAATTGATTATTAAAATTAAACATAACAAAAAGTGTTATCATTCACTTTCCCTATGTAGTGTGTATATATGTTTTGAATTGCTTTGTTTTGGAAATGTTGGTCATGATAGTATAATACTTTGACCTTTAAATAATAAAAAAACAAAAAATAAAAACCAAAAAAGGAAATAAAAACAACAATTCTAATAGGAAACAAAAAGAGAAATTAAAAAAAAAAATCTAATATGTTTGGTTTCAATTTTCTAAATTCAATTTTTTTAAAATTATTTTTTTTATTTTTCATTTTTTTAATGAATATTTTTAAAATTTTAATCAATTTTTTTTTTACTTTTTAGATGCACCTTATTTGGATGTATCTAAAAAGTAAAATATTTATAAAAAAATATTTTAAAAAATCAATAAATACACAAGAACACGAAATTGTACTGAATTTTCATTTTGTTTTTGTATTTTGGTATTTCGTGAATTTTTTAAAGATTTTTTTTCACAAATATTATACTTTTTAAGTGTATTTATGTTAAGTGCATCTAAAAATTAAAAAAATTATTTAAAATATTAAAAAATTAGTGAAAATAAAAATATACGAAAAACAAAAAAAAATAATTTTTTGAAAAGTGAAAGCAAACAAGTTAGGATTTAAAAGTTTAGCTATGCTGACTACATTCCTAAATCTTGTAATTTTTTTTTTCAATAGCCTTTCATGGTGGGATATAAAAGTTTAGTTATGCTAATTTTAAATTTAGGAAAAATTTTATTTCAGGAATGGTTTTGAAAAATAATTATAAAAAAAGGTAAATTTTATAATATTAATAATTAAAAACATAATTTTTTTTTATGAATGTGTAATAATTCCTTAAATTTAAATGTAAATTCACTTAGAGATAGAAACTGATAATAACCTTGGATAGTAGGTCACTAATTCATTTTTCTGTACGATTTGGTGGATTAGATGATGCAATATTGGAGCAGTTGGGTTAATAGAGTGAGAAAGATGAAATGAGAGTATTGTAGTCATTTAATATTATTTTTGACACCGTTTAGAACAAAATTAACATAAGGGGAATCTGACTATTATTTTTAAAAGTAAGGAAGGTCTATACAATTTTTAAAATCACAAAAGAAGTATCTATAATTAGGGAGCTTCTATTTACATATCACTATGTGACTCAATACACACCATCTTTATAATTTTTTTTACTACATTTATGTCCATTAGTCAAATTACCATTTTGTATAGAATTCTAATTACACACCAACCATAACCAACATTGCACTTTTGCTGGCTGCTCCTAACACCAGTCGTCCCTTCTATACTGCTGTAGTTGTAGCTACCTTCCACATCGCACTACCTTCAGTCACTGCCCTACCATTGCATACCAATATACCTTCGGTGCCACTCTAAGCCCTCCTCACTTCTGCCATCAACACGTTCCGCTCTGGTGGAACACCTCTCACAGCCTTGCCAATGTCCCCTTCGCAGCCTTGCAACCTACCCCCACTACTTTACAATGTCGTCGTAGTCCGACGACGAATAGAGGGCAGATCATGATTTCGCGATCGTAATTTCTAGAGAAAGAGAGAGCATATCGTGATTTTGAGAGAGATAAAAAGGTAGAGGCGACAATAATAGTGACAGTGGATGGTGGCTAGGGTTAAGGTTAGGGTTGGGGAAGATGAAGGTATGTTTGTATCAACTGATGGGTAAGGGATGGGTTGTGAGAATTGCCGGGGATGGAGAAGAAGAAGAAGAAGAAAAAAAAAAGAGAGGAGAATGAAGAGATTGGAGACGGGGGCAGCGACGGAAGAGATGGCAGTCTCTGGTGATGATAGTAGTTAAGATTAGGGTTAGAATTCTGAAAGGGTTGGAGAGTTAGAAAGATTAGGGTATTTTGGGTTTTTCAAAAATTATTGGTGTGAATTGAGAAAATATCAAATAATTTAAAATGAGTATAGTGTAAACTAAGAAAGTGGTGTTTATTGAGTCAGATGGTGGTGTGTAAATAGAAACTCTCCTGTAATTAAGATAAACTTCGGGAAGATAAGTATAATTTATCCTAAATAAATTTGATAAATATAATGGTGCAGATTATTTTTAGGGTGAATTACACTAACGGTCCCTATAGTTTGGGGTTTGTGTCATTTTGGTCTATGACTTTTCAATTGTGACACATTTAACCTAGGATTTTGAATCTTCTTATAAATAAGAACAATTGAAGATACCATTAGATTTTTCAAAGGCAAAATCGTCAATTTGATAAAATATAAACTAATTTGACAAAAATAAATGTCAAACAAATATTTTTGAATTTTTAAAAATTATTTCTACTCACTAAAGATAAAATTATGTAAAATTAATAAATCTTTTAGATATTTATTTATTTTACCAAATTAATTTTTATTATGTGTTTCGAAGATTATTACATTAAATTAGTTTATATTTTTCTAAAAGTCAAATATAGTGACAACTTTGATATCATTATTAAATCAGTCTATTAAATTAAAAAATTCAAAACTAAAAATATTTCATATATTAAATATGTCGATTACACATTAAAAGTTTAATAATTACCCATTACACGATCATCATCTAAACATATAATAAAAATTAATCTGGTAAAATAAATAAATACATAAATATCTAAAAGTTTTATCAATTTTACATAATTTTATCTTTGGTAGGTAAAAATAATTTTTAAAAATTTAAAATATTTTTTTGACATTTATTTTTATCAAATTAATTTATGTTTTATCCAATTGACGATTTTACTATTGAAATTAAGCAATGATATTTTTAATTATTCTTATTTAAAATAATATTTAAACTTTAATGTTAAGTATATCATAATTAAAAAAGTCAATAACTAAAATAATACGAAACTTGAGCGTAACTTTTCTTATTTTTGCCAATTTCGTTGGGAACTTGAAAGGACTTTTAAAATTAATTTTTTCATTTCCCTTTGCTTAAACAATTTCCAAGGCATCTGTTAAACCGTCAAATTCGATTCCTTTTCATTTCCAAAAACAAAAACAAAAACAAATTCGTTTTCAACCCGACTATTTACTCACCTCACCTTAAACCTTTGAGACACAAAATCATTTTCTAACCTTTTTTTTGAACCTTTGAGACACAAAATCATTTTCTAACCTTTTTTTAAAATTCAAATTATTCTCAAATAATGGCCACAGCAGTCTCTATATTTCCCAGGCCCATCCATGTCCTCCATCACAGTAGGTCCCACCACTTCAACTCCCTTGTCTCTCTCACCTTCAAGTCTAAAGTGAAGAACAAAACACACATTTCTCGCGTTCTCTCACTCTCTTCGACTCTACTCACAAAACAGAATCACGTTTCCCGCGCTTTCTCTGTCTTCTATGTCTATGGCAAAGCCAGTAACAGAAATCTATATCACAGCCATGCTAGCTCTGTTGTTTCTCCTTCTCTCTCTATCCCATCTGGGTCTCTCATTGAGTCAAGATGGACTTTTTCTCCAGCGAGTCAAACTCGGTCTGTCCGACCCGAACGGTGTTCTCTCCGACTGGAACGACCGCGACGCCACCCCATGCAACTGGACCGGCATCACCTGCGACCCGGCCACGGGTTCAGTCAGCTCGGTCGATCTCTCCAACGCTGGCCTCGCCGGTCCATTCCCCAGCTTCCTCTGCCGCCTCTCTTCTCTCTCCTCTCTCTCTCTAAAAAACAACAATCTCAACTCCTCTCTCCCACTCTCCATCTCCAACTGTAAGAACCTCACTACTCTCAATCTTTCGCAGAACTTCTTCGAGGGTTCGATTCCGTACACGATCTCTGATCTTCCCAAACTCAGATTCCTCATCCTCGATGGAAACAGCTTCTCCGGCCAGATTCCGGTGAGTTTTGGGCTTTTCCGGCGACTCGAGACTCTAAATATTGCCAACAATCTTCTCAGCGGAACAATACCTGCGGCGATTGGGAACATAACCAGTCTGAAGTCGCTCGAACTCGCTTATAACCTGTTTACCCCGGGTCAACTGGCTCCAGAACTCGGGAACTTGTCGAGTTTGGATTATATGTGGCTTAGTTCCTGTAGCCTTGTGGGTTCGATACCGGATAGTTTTGGGAGACTGAGTCGTCTCACGAATTTGGATTTGTCGAATAATATGCTTACTGGTTCGATACCGAGTGTGATCTTCGAACTAAAAAGTGTCGTGCAAATTGAGCTGTTCAACAACTCATTTTCCGGCGAGTTATCGGCTGGTTGGTCGAACCTGACTTCTCTCCGGCGGTTCGACGCGTGTTGTAATTCGTTTGTTGGGCCGATTCCGAACGAGTTGTGTGAGTTACCACTCGAGTCGCTGAACCTGTACCAGAACCAGCTCGTGGGTTTGTTACCAGAGAGCATAGCTAAGTCCCCAAATTTGTACGAACTCAAAGTGTTCAAGAATCAGCTTAATGGGTCATTGCCGAGTGAACTCGGCAAGCACTCGAACTTACTAACCATCGACGTGTCGGAAAATCAGTTCTCCGGCGAAATTCCGGCGAGTTTGTGCGAGAATGGGTTGTTAGAACAGCTTCTCTTGATATACAATTCGTTTTCGGGTACCATTCCGGATGTTCTCGGGAAATGTCGAAGCTTGAACCGGGTTCGATTGCGGTCTAATCGGTTTTCCGGCGAAGTTCCGGCGGAGTTTTGGGGTTTACCACATGTGTATTTGCTTGAACTCGCAGAGAATTCATTTTATGGGAATATCTCATACATGATATCTGGTGCATCAAATCTTTCAAAACTTGACATTTCTAATAACAGGTTTTCTGGAACTATTCCTAAAGAAATTGGATCTTTAGGTAATTTATTTGAGTTTTCTGGTAATGATAATGAGTTTTCTGGTCAAATTCCTGCAACAATTGTCAATTTGAGTCAATTAGCGACGCTTCGTCTTAGAAACAATGAACTTTCTGGGGAGATTCCAATGGGGATTCAGTCTTTGAGACAGCTCAATGAGCTTAGTTTGGCTAATAATACCTTATCTGGTGAAATCCCAGATCAAATTGGGAGTTTGCCAGTGCTCAATTATCTTGATCTTTCTTGGAATCACTTTTCTGGGGAAATCCCACTTGCGTTGCAGAATTTGAAGCTCAATGTGCTAAATTTGTCATATAATCAGCTATCTGGTGAAATACCTGCACTCTATGCTAAGGATATATATAGGGACAGCTTTTTGGGCAATCCGGGTTTGTGTGGTGATATTTCTGGTCTTTGTACTGAAAAAACTGGTGTCAAGAATCAGGGTTATCTGTGGATACTTAGATCTATTTTCATCCTTGCTGGTTTGGTTTTTGTTGTTGGGATTGTTTGGTTTGTGTGGAAGTTTTGGAGTTACAGGAAAACAAAGAAAGGAATTTCTATTGTGAAGTGGAGATCATTTCACAAATTGGGTTTCAGTGAATGTGAAATTCTTGATTGCCTTAATGAACTTAATATTATTGGAAGCGGAGCTTCAGGGAAAGTCTACAAGGTCGAGCTTAGTAATGGTGAGGTTGTTGCAGTTAAGAAGATACGCGATAGATCAAAAAAGGATGATGAGAGTTTTACGAGTGCTGTTTCAAGGGAAAGATGAATTTGAGGTTGAAGTTGAGACACTGGGGAAAATTAGGCACAAGAATATTGTGAGGTTGTGGTGTTGTTGCAACACTGGGGATTGCAAGCTTTTGGTGTACGAGTACATGCCAAATGGGAGTTTGGGCGATTTGCTGCATAGTAGCAAGGGTGGTTCATTGGACTGGCCTGCAAGATTTAGGATAGCTTTGGATGCTGCTGGGGGGCTTTCTTATTTGCATCATGATTGTGTTCCTCCGATTGTCCATAGGGATGTTAAGTCAAACAATATTTTGTTGGATGCTGAGTTGGGAGCAAGAATTTCTGATTTTGGAGTTGCTAAAATTGTCAAAACAGTGAACAAGGGGGCAGAATCTATGTCTGCAATTGCTGGTTCTTGCGGTTACATTGCACCAGGTACGAGAAATTACCTGATCACTCAATTCCATTTCTTTGCCATAATGAATTGATTTCGTTACTAGTTGCAGAGCTGAATCATGAACTTGAATGACTTAGATTTTGTGGTATGCTTAATCGATATTGGTTTCCTCTAATTGTGAATTTTGAACCACTGCTTAGGGATGCATAGGTTCATTAATTGTTCAGAATTATTTATTCTTTCAAATATGTTTTCAAGCATTGCACGAATTGAATTTTAATGAAAACTGTCAATTCAAACTTAGATCTTAACTATTCTAGCTAAATGATGATTCACATTTGTGAAACATTTTGATTGCTTCTCCTTATAGTAAAGCTGCTACATTTTAATTGAAGCTGTTCTGTTTGATCTTTATCCTACTGTAGAATATGCATATACTCTTCGAGTGAACGAAAAGAGCGACATTTATAGCTTTGGCGTGGTCATTCTAGAACTAGTGACTGGTAGACGACCCATTGATCCAGACTTTGGGGAGAAAGACCTAGTGACATGGGCCTGCAACAACTTGGAACAGAAAGGAATTGACCATGTGATCGATCCCAATCTCGATTCTACTTTCAAGGAACAAATTTGCAGGGTTCTTGATATCGCCTTCCTTTGTGTCAGCTCACTTCCAATCAACCGGCCTTCAATGCGAGAGGTGGTTAAAATGCTGCAAGAAGCAGGGGCATATAACAAGCCCAGGAGAGCAAACAAGAATGATAATCTTTCTCCTGGTTGCTATGAAGACTCCTCTGATTCTCTAATCAAGGAAGTGTAATTTCAAGATTTTAGGTGTTAGTTTTTGGCAACATGAGAGAGTCAGAGAAAGAGAATGATTGTAGTGGAACAAAACTGAGAAAAAATTGAAGATGTGCCCATTGTTGGAAAACTCATTTTGAATGTTTCCTATAGAAGGGGGAACAATTGGCAACACAACTGTAATTGTTACTATAAGAAGGTTGTTAGTCATGACAGGTCTTTATTTTTAGGTCATGTAACTAATTTCGGAGCTTTATATAATATTGATTATGTGATATTTTAAACCATTCACATAAATATGTCAATTCATTTTATTGGATAGTTAAGTGATAAATGGTAATCTGCATTATGATTTTTTTATTAAGTAAAAGTATTATGTAGAATATGATTTGTATGAAAAATCTAATGATTTTCTATATTGGCCGCCCTCATTGAATGAAATGGTCCCAGTGCTTTGTCCTTGTCATTATGCAGCTTAGCAATACTAGAGTGAGGATCGTGGGACGAGTAATGCAGTCTCAGTGCGCGTGACAAGGTGGCCCTCAAAAGTTGACTAATGAGGTTCTTATAATTTATCCAAGAGAGTCAAGGTGGACCAATAGCAAGCTTGATTGGACATTGTTGGAATTTTAGTAATTTTTTGATTTTTTAGCTAAAATATAAGGTAAAAAAAAATAGTATATTTGGGGTAATTTTTTAACTTTTTATAAAAAAATGTATAAAAAGTAGAGAATAAATTTTTTTTTTGATTTTTTGATATAAATTCTAAATTTTTTAATTTTTTTTAATAACTTTTTAACTTTTAAACTGAAACAGCTACTCTAGCGTGGGTTGGTGCTTGCCTCCTGTTACCCCATGGTTATTATTTAATTTAGTGACAAAAATGTTTTAGTTCCTGTATTTAGTCTGCTCTTAACCGCATTACTGTACCTAAGTTTTGAATTGTCCTTTTTTTTAACCAATCCATGAAATAAAAAAATGCATTAAACACAATAAGAGGAATCACAGAGGCAAAGAGGAGATCAAGAGCCTCTGGTGGGACTGTTTCAAGTTCAGCAGATTATAGTTGTCATATCTTATTGGTCAATCTGCTTCTCTTCTAGACTTCTTATCTTGTCATTTTTTTTTGTAATTCTCTCTCTTTCACTCTCAATATTGTATTTTGGGTCTTCGAATGTCATATTGCAAACAAAAAGAACATACTCCAAACAGAATAGAGAATTAGGCCCTACAAACGGATTGGGAGAACATAAAATTTTTTCCCCCTTCTAATTCACGTAATCAGATTATAATGAAACTGTAAATGAATGAATTGTGCAGTATTCAATCCATCAATCTTATTGAGTCCTTGTCATTTTCAAACCAGACCTAAACATAATTCTCACTACAAGAAATTACAGCTTTAGCGACTAATTTTGTTGATTAAAGTCAATTTAGTCGCCAAAGGTGTATACATTAGCTACTAAAAATGTTTTGGTCGCCAATGGTACACACATTAGCTACCAAACATTATTTGGTCGCCAATACTAAGACGTATTAGCTACTAAACTGTTTTGGTCGGTAAATGTGACCTACTTCGCTACTAATGTCATATGTAGTCGGAATAGTCTCCACTAATGGCGACTAATTACATGTTAGTCATTAAATATTAACTTTTGGCCGACTAAATATCACAATGGTCGATAACTGTATAATATTTATACATTTTTATTTTTTATTTTCGTATTTCTTTGATTTTTGGCTACTAATAGTACTGTTAGTCATGGAAATGATTGGTTTCGGCGACTAATTTGATTTTGGTCGCCAAATAATTCAGTTTCACCGACTATGTTTTTGGTAGCCAAACGTGCCACGAACCACTGGAGGGAAAATTAATTTTTCATTACAAATATTACCGACGAAAATAATTTTTGGTCGGTAATAAATATTTTTTTCTTTTATTTTCATTGCAAAAGTATTCCATTTCCCTCCCTCTCGCACTCCCGCCTCCATCACTGCTCTGTCTCCATCGCAAGAGTTGCTGTATCATCCCCCGAACTCCCTCCTCCCAGGTATCTCCCTCTCTCTCTCTGTATCTCCCTCTCCATTTCTTAAACATCTCACAAGGCCTCTCGAGTTCCCCTCTTTCTCTCTCTGTTTACACACACACACACACACACACACACACATACATGCATATATATATATATATACACACACACACACACAAATCATATATTCACAACCTTGATTCCATATATACTCGATTATATACACAAATCATATGTACACTCACGCCTCTGGCCTCTTCTTTACAAGAATAGTCTCCATCGCCCGAACTCATCCGAACTCCCTCCCAGGTATGTCCTCCATTTCGCATCTGTCTCTCCCTCTCTCTGTATCTCCCTCTCGATTTCCCTCTGTTTCTATCCGTCTCTGTTTACACACGCACACACATACATACATACATATATATATATATATGTCAAAACACACAGAATATGAAGTACGAAATGCCCTCAATTAGGGCATTGTTATTGAAATGTGATTCAAATTAAAAATTAGGGCAATGCTTGGGGTGAATCAAGCCATTTGCTAAATAAACTAGGGCAAAGTCTTGTAGTAGTGGTACATATAAAAGAGGAATTTTTATGGTTTTGAGCAAATATACTAGCTGTTTGTTGCTTTTGGATGCCTTGGTAAGAATGTTGAGGCACTTAATATATACCTACTGTTCTTCTTCATAGTTGCATTTCCAATGTATGAATTTGATGTAATATGTAATTGTTGACAATCTTGAGATATGAATGATTTTAAAATCTACAAATGAATAAGTATTCACACTTGAGGTAGGATATTTTGTATCTTGGAAGTACCTGCAAAGAGATGCAGTCATCATAGTTTTGGTAAAACAAGGGTAGGGATTAGATTGTCTTTGTAGATTCTTCGGCTGATGTTGTGTTCTTGAATGAACATATGGTAGTAGCTTGGTACCCATGGATCATGACTTTCGATCTGTTGGCCTAGCTGTGTATGCTTTTTTTTTTTTTTAAACATTTGGTGTCACTGTGCATTATAAGTTGAAATATGATTGTAGAATATAATAATAGCATTGGAAACTATGGTGGATGGATAGCATTGCCTTGTCTTGAATACTTCTGTGCTATAAATAACCATGGTAGTTCGTGGATGGATAGCATTGCCTTGTCTTGAATGGATAGGATTCACTTGTTAAATTCTTGGAAACTACTTGGCAAACATGATAATTATATGTGAGTAATATTTAAACATCATTACATAAAAAAGTACAAGGAGGCTGCTCTTGGTATGGGAACTGAGGAGAATATAACCTCGATGCTTAATCCTGTAGCACAGGATTGTCATTCAGGTTGGTTTTTTTTTTTTTTTAATGGATATTAATTATTAGCTGCTTTAGGTCACATATTATAATATATGTTTGTGGCCACTGTTAGTGCAGGACTAGTAGTACTTAAACTTGCATGTATAGGATTTTGGAGTTTTAACTTCCCACGGTAAGTATGCTATTTGTAAAATGCTCCGTCACCTTTATAGCCTTGTCGTCAACCATTGCAGCCTCCTTCGTCCATCATCTTCTCCAATTGGCCCTCCCTCGCTATTCTGATTTGTGAGCGTCAAAAAGCCTATGGCTTTGACATTCTTCTCTTGTTAAGAAAACAAATCTGAGTTTAAGTGGTATAAAAGTCATGCTTAACTCTTAACCTGTTTCATTGTAATAAGAGCATGACATGGTTTTCATTATTTTGATATATCATTCTATCATTGACCATATAGTTTCTCTAGTACTAGTGCTCTACTAGTTATGCTATGTAGTGGTCCAAAATTACGGGTCATTTCTTAAATTAACTTGTTTTAGAACTAATCGTGTCATAAAGTTCCACCCTAAAAGAGATTTATGTGACAAGCCAAACAGTGAATGAAAAACAACCTAATCTATCTCAACTTGAAATGCGTGTTCTCATGGCTTCCTCGGTTAATGTTTGTGTGAGTTGTAGGTGACAAAATGGACAAGAGTTGGATGACGATAAATAATCGGTTGACAAGTAAAGAGTATCAACAAGGGGTGAAGTCATTCCTTGATTTTGCTACGGCAAATTTAGGCGTAGAGGATGAAATTAGGTGTCCTTGTGTCGATTGCATTAATGGCACAAAATATAGCAGACAAGTTGTGTGGATGCACTTGATCCGAAGAGGCATGGCATCTTCGTATCTAACTTGGGTGCATCACGGGGAACATGTTCCCGTGTCTCGTCCTAGTGTATCAAATGACCAATATGGAGGTAGTGGCGAATGTATGACAGATATCGATGATCCGCCCATGGATGAATTGCCTATTATGTTGGAAGAAATTTATGTGAGTGGTCTTATGGATGATCATACCGACGAGGAACCTAATGGTTTGGAGAGGGAGGATTTGCATAAGTTCACTAGGTTATTCGAAGATGCACAACGCAAAGTTCACCCGACATGTGAAAAGTTTTCTGTGTTATCATTCGTCATTAAGATGCTTCATGTGAAGGTGTACAACAAATGGAGCAACAAGTCATTCGATATGGTTATGCAGGTATTCAAGGACATTCTACCAGAATGTGATCCAACAGTTCCATGGACACTCTATGATGCTAAGAAGTTCTTACGTGACTTGGGTTTGGGATATGAAACAATTCATTCGTGCAAGAATGATTGTGTACTATTTTGGAAAGAGAGTGCTAATTTGGAGAAATGGCCTACATGTGACACGTGTAGATACAAGTTGAACGATGATGGTGGTAAAAAGATTCCACACAAGGTATTGCGGTACTTTCCTTTGACACCGAGGTTGAAAAGATTGTATATGTCCAAAAAAAGAGCCGCAGATATGAGATGGCACAATGAGAAGTGTGTGGATGATGACATATTAAGGCACCCGGCCGATGGTCAAGCATGGAAGGACTTTGATAAGCAACATCCGACGTTTTCTGATGACTCTCGAAATGTAAGGCTAGGGCTGGCAACAGATGGTTTCAATCCATTTGGGAATATGAGCACATCATATAGCATGTGGCCCGTAATCTTAATGCCTTACAATCTCCCACCGTGGAAGTGCATGAAAGAGCAATATTGCATGATGTCATTGCTTATTCCTGGACGTTCAGCACCTGGAAGAGACATTGATGTTTACTTGCAACCACTAATAAAAGAATTGAAGAATTTGTGGGAGCATGGTGTGTAAACATATGATGCATCGAACGGGCAAATTTTTAGAATGCATGCGGCGGTAATGTGGACCATAAATGACTTCCCTGCGTACGGTAACATGTCAGGGTGGAATACAAAGGGTTACTTGGCTTGCCCTAATTGTAACAATAATGCATCATCCCAGGGATTACGGAGTAAAATAGGGTATATGGGTGCTCGTCGCCACTTGCTTGAGAACCACACTTGGCGAACAAGTAAGCTCTTCAATGGTCAAACGGAGCATAGGTCCAAACCTTTGGACTTATCGGGGGGCCAAATACTAGAGCAAATTGATTCTGCGACTTACAAGCCGTATGGAAAGCACCCACAAAATCGAAAACGACAAAGGAATGAACATCAAAATTTGAATTGAAGCAAGAGAAGCATTATGTTTGACTTGCCCTATTGGAAGACGTTGAAGCTTCAACACAACCTTGATGTCATGCATATTGAAAAGAATATATGTGACAATGTCGTTGGGACACTTTTGAGCGTAGATGGAAAGAACAAGGACACGGATTGGTTTAGAAGGCCAATTAGATTGGTTTAACAACTGTTTTTAAGTTAACTTTGTGCTCTTTCTTTTTTTTCTTTTTTTTTTGTTGTTGTCGTCTTTTTGCCTATTTTCAAAGAAACGCACAAATAACATTCACACTTTATTTGTTAATGGGCGGAGAAATAGTTGAACCGCACTAGAATGAGTAGATGACAATGGTAATATCAGTATCAATGAGCTTTCTTATGACGTGTAATCACAAACCCGTTAGTCTTTGTTAGCCTGAATGATCAATCAGGAACACTCCAATACTTAAGTTAATATCGCAAGCTACTCTCTCAATATATAGTGTAAGTTTCAGCTTGTGTGATACTGTACCTCTACTTGGACTTAAGTGATTCCTTTGTATTTTTTGATTTTATCATTAAGAGTATTATATAATGACTTGTTCATATTACTCTATTCTAGGCATAATTGTGTTTCATGTGACGATTTTTCCTGAACTGATAAATATTAGCTCACTAATCATTGACTTATCACTAACTTGGTTCACCTTTCACTAGTACTTCACCCATCCAAATATTATACTTGTTTAAACACTTGACCAAACAATTATTTAAACGTTGAGTACATATCTAGCTCAATTGTCTCTCCTCTAACTTAACCAAGCAGCATGGTTGTATAAAATTAGCTCCTACACTAACATTCCATAATTTTCTTTCTTTCTCTCTCTTTTAATCTTTTAACCTCTTACATGTGATTTGTAGGAAGACATGAGGGGCTAATGTGAATGAATAGAGGAACATTTTGGGCAAAACCAATGATGCAAAGCCACAAGTAAGCATATTATTTGAGGCTCAAGAAGCAGGTGGGGGACCATATGTCCACCACAATTTGTACACTTCCATGTTAGTTGCTAGGGAAACATAGAAAAAGGTTAGAAACTTCTGCCTAAAGAACTCCACTTCTTCATCTTTCTGCACACCCCAAATTCACACCAAATAAGTAGGTTATCAACCAAATCCATGAAACAATAGCTAAAACACAACATATGATGCAGAATTGAAAAAATATATACTAGTTCCTTAAACAATGGCTCTGGTATTCCAATTTTGTGACCAGTAGGTAGAAACCCGCAGCGTCTCTTTGCCCTTTCAATATCTCCATTTTCATCAAAAACCAAAACTTGCATTTCAGGAGGCAAATTGAGTTGCTTAAATACCTGTATTGGCATTCGAGGCAAAAGCATATAGGCATTGATGAAAATAACATATCCCACAAATTCCAAAAATGTTATATGGAGCCACAGGCAGTGAATACCTCAATGGAAAAGGATGGCACAAAAGGTTCTAATAGACATGCAAGAAGATATACTAGTCCAGCTGAAGTCTTCATAACTAGCCAAACCATGCATTGTAATTAAAGGTCAAACCATGCAATCTTCAATCCTTGCTTTAGTTTAATCACCAACTTTTTTTGTCTAATTTTGAACAAAAGCTAGTTTTAGGAAAAAATTTAAAACATGAAGCGCCAAAGTGAGGGAAAAAAACATTAAGGGTCAAAGTGGGAAAATGGCCAAACATAAAGGGGGCAAAGTGTAATTCACCCATGTTTTTACATAGGTATGCATTTTGTGTGTATGTATGTATGTATGATCATCTTTGTGTTTGTTTGTTTGTGTAAAATAAATTTATAGATTTTGTCAGTTTGAATTGGGGATGCTTTTATTTGTGAATTTTACTTGGGCCTTATTTTGTGTACCATAAAGCATATCCAGTGTTAAAAATTCTGGGTAACAATTAGGAAGTCTTGTTGTACAATAATAACTCCCATCAGAAAACATGGTAATGACATAGTACCGACTTCCTTTTCTTTTTCAAAATGTCTTTTTAGACAACTTGCTAGCAGATTTTGGGGGTGTCTTTATTTGAATTTGGTTGTTGTCTCACATGCAACTGTGCAAGGATGATGTCTTGTGAGTTTTGCCATCCTTTATGTACATTAAAATTAGGTACAATGACAGTGATAAGTGGGTATCAATATCATATTCCGATGATGAGGACTATATGGTTAAGCTAGTGGGAGAAGAGGGGGGATGTCCATCTAATCCCATTTGTGGTTTTGTATTTTTTTTTTCTTCTTTTTTTGGAAATACATCAGTGAGTTAGTAGTAACCTCCACAGATGAGGAGGCCAAGCAGGCATCTGACCACTTGGGCTGGGGCACTTCTTGTTTTCTATTGGTTGGTGACACCGCGTACAATGGAAATAAATTAGCAAGTGTGTTCTCTTGGGGTAATTAAAAATGAATACATAAAGTAGTTTCTTAAGATGTGGACTGTTGTGTGCTAAGCTGACACTTGATTTGTTTGAGAATCTCTCTTTGGATGCAAATGTTAATTAGAGGGGCTTGTTATGTTTGGCTAATTTTGTAACCTCTTTTGCCTTCTATCTGTAATCAACATTTTGTGTGCAAATCCCTCATGCATTTTGGTTTCTTCCAGTGCAATATGATAAACTGTGTTATTCATCAATGCGTGCACAAGAAAAGATGCTGAACTGGTGGTTACTGGTTAGACAAACTGTTTGGCAACTTGTTTGGACCAACACCAAGTCCAAAAGCAGGCTAAAATGTTTGCTCTTCTGTGTGGAATTAGCCATTTGAATGGCTAACATTTTTGGAGTGTGAATGATTTCTGTCATTACAAGGATCCAAGAATGTCAACAGGTGGCTAAAATGAATGATAAATTGTCTTCATTTTTAAACATATGGATAAGTAATCCACACTTGTCCACAGCTATTGCAAGTGGATTTCTTACAATATTTTAAGGTTTTATATTATGTTTTTGACTTCCCACATTTTACACAAGTACCAAATTTGGTGTGAATGATATCTTAATGAAAGACGTTATTTCTAATGCCAGGATCCTATTAGAAGCGCAATAATCGACTCATGTATACGGGTGACTGACAATGGAAGAGAAAGCATTCAAAGAAAAGTATGAATGTTAAATCATTTAACTATGGCGCGTCAATATGTTTTATTTTTTTCTCTTCTTATGGACTGTTATGACCCTCTGCTATGTAACTTTCAAGTATTCTTCATTTTCACACTTTACAATACTTCTAATCACAATGATCAACTAAAGGTGGGGTAAATACCTTGTCAGATATTGTGCTGCTTCTCAATACAATAAACAACCAAGACGTTTAATTTGTGAATTCTAAATTTTCCTAGTTGGGAGCAAGCAGTCTAGAAGACGCCGCTCAATGGATTCATAACTTTTAGGAGGCAGCTTCAAAGGTTTCAAGTGCTCGTTTGTTAATTTGGTGCAGAATTGCAATGCTGAAACACCAGATTGGCAAGTAGGGCATCAATCACCTTCTCCATAGCTTCAAAATATTGCACTACATAATCACCAACTTTTTCTCCAAAATGCCTTGGTTAAGGGATGCGATTCTGCTCCTAGAGCATCATGTATGATAGAATGATATCCTACGCCTTTACTTCCTTCCAAAAATGTCAGTTTGCATTGTGATTAAAGGTCAAACCATGCAATTAGAAGAGAACCATGCAATCTTCAATCCTTGTCGGAAAAAATTGTGATTAAAGGTCAAATCACTTTGGTCAAACCATGCATTGTGATTAAAGGTCAAACCATGCAATCTTCAATCCTTGCTTTAGTTTAATCACCAACTTTTTTTGTCTAATTTTGAACAAAAGCTAGTTTTAGGAAAAAATTTAAAACATGAAGCACCAAAGTGAGGGAAAAAAAAGTTAAGGGTCAAAGTGGGAAAATGGCCAAACATAAAGGGGGCAAAGTGTAATTCACCCATATTTTTACATAGGTATGCATTTTGTGTGTATGTATGTATGTATGATCATCTTTGTGTTTGTTTGTTTGTGTAAAAGAAATTTATTGATTTTGTCAGTTTGAATTGGGGATGCTTTTATTTGTGAATTTTACGTGGGGCTTATTTTGTGTATCATAAAGCATATCCAGTGTTAAAAATTCTGGGTAACAAATAGGAAGTCTCGTTGTACAATAATAACTTCCATCAGAAAACATGGTAATGACATAGTACCGACTTCCTTTTCTTTTTCAAAATGTCTTTTTAGACAACTTGCTAGCAGATTTTGGGGGTGTCTTTATTTGAACTTGGTTGTTGTCTCACGTGCAACTGTGCAAGTATGATGTCTTGTGAGTTTTGCCATCCTTTATGTAGATTAAAATTAGGTACAATGACAGTGATAAGTGGGTATCAATATCATATTCCGATGATGAGGACTATATGGTTAAGCTAGTGGGAGAAGAGGGGGGATGTCCATCTAATCCCATTTGTGGTTTTGTATTTTTTTTTTTTTTGGAAATACATCAGTGAGTTAGTAGTCACCTCCACAGATGAGGAGGCCAAGCAGGCATCTGACCACTTGGGCTGGGGCACTTATTGTTTTCTATTGGTTGGTGACACCGTGTACAATGGAAATAAATTAGCAAGTGTGTTCTCTTGGGGTAATTAGAAATGAATACATAAAGAAGTTTCTTAAGATGTGGACTGTTGTGTGCTAAGCTGACACTTGATTTGTTTGAGAATCTCTCTTTGGATGCAAATGTTAATTAGAGGGGCTTGTTATGTTTGGCTAATTTTGTAACCTCTTTTGCCTTCTATCTGTAATCTACATTCTGTGTACAAATCCCTCATGCATTTTGGTTTCTTCCAGTGCAATATGATAAACTGTGTTATTCATCAATGCGTGCACAAGAAAAGATGCTGAACTGGTGGTTACTGGTTAGACAAACTGTTTCGTAACTTGTTTGGACCAACACCAAGTCCAAAAGCAGGCTAAAATGTTTGCTCTTCTGTGTGGAATTAGC